AAAATAGTGATCTAATTCTGATAAAAAATTGGGTTTAACGTTAGAACTGGCTTTTGCGATAAATATTTTTGCCAAAAAAATTCAGCTCCTCTTTCTTAGCAATTGCAAGCGAATTAGCGTCCATTTTAAACTCTCGAATTTGATTAGTGATATTAATTTTCAGTTATTACTGTAATCAAAAAATAGGATGAATTTGGTTTAAAAAAATGAAAAGTCTTTGTTTACCCTTTCATATCTGAATTTCGTCCCTTTGGGCGATTTCGTAGCATTTCAATAAAAACTCCTCACTAACATTTTGGATTGGCTGAATCATCGCGATGGCACGATTTTTTCGGTCTTACTTTGCCTCTCGCACGATATTCGCCCAATTGCCTAGTTGTCTCCGGGTCTCGCCCAGACGTCTTAGCCTTATCCAAGTCACTCTAGTGATGTTTTTTATAAAGTCTTCTTAGTGACAAATCATTGTTTCACACAGCTACATGTAACTCTCTGTGCCTTTCTCTCCTTCTCCCTCACTCTCTCTCGCTCTTTCTCTCTCAATATCCCTCCCTTTTAGCAGTTGAATACATTGAAATCATTGTCCTACATATACAATGAAAATCGAAAATCTCACAAAAACTCCGCGCAACTTTCACTCTCTCTCTCTCTCATTTTCTCTTCATCTCTTTTAGCAGTTGAAAATATTGTAATCATTGTTCTACAAATATATTGAAGATCGAAAAACTCACAAGACGCTCTCTCTCTCTCGCTCTTTCTCCCCTCTTCGCCTTTCCATCCCTCTTTCTTATTGAAGTTATTGTTTTAAAAGCATAATAAAAATCGAGAAATTCACTTGTTCGTTTTTAAAAAACAGGTACGACTTTCTCTCTTTTTCTCTTTCTCTTTCTTTGGCCTTCTTTCCTTGTTTTCTTCTTCCTCTCACTCTCTCTCGCTACTGTATCATATTCCCCTTGTTCTCTCTCTTACACCATCTTGGCAGTGAACTAAACTGTCATGAAACTCTAGGTAGATGCTAAAGAAAATTCTACCATAACCTACAAAGTGAGAACAATTGCATGATTTTATAGCACCCGTGAAATTTAAATGAAGGATTCGCATTATTTCTTGTTCATATTATATTTTATATGTTACTCGATTTTAATATTTTGTCTTCAGCGTGAAGGTCTTGCTTGAAATCTTCTAATTAAAGATGAACGAATGCATTGTCAATTTCCACCCTGATCGAGAATGTATTTGCATACTTTACAGTATTTGCATACTTTACTTTAGTATGCTAATATCTTAAAATCTTCTCAACGAATTAGCAAAGTTAACATACTTCCACCCTATAGTGGTCAATATGGAAAAAAAGAGAGAACCAAAAATTTGTGCCATGTCTTTCAGCAGGTTGTAGATATTCGCTTTTAATGGTTGTACTTTATATACATTTTAAGTATATAAAGCATTCTTTCTTTCAAAAGTAATAGTATTGCTTTTCATTGTCGTATGTGAATGGAGGGAGAATTACTTAAAAAGAAAAAAAAAAGGGGCGCTTAAGTATATAAATAAATACGAAGAGTAATATGCACTTGAGACTGAGACATTAAAAGAATTCTTTCTGTTCTCCTTATTTCAAGAGGAAGTTGCCGGATAAATGTAATCTCCGGTGGTAAACTAACAAATAGCAGGTGTTGTACAATATTTTTATAATTAACATGTAAAAATACTATAGTGTGCCACGGCCCATCACTAAATACCCTACACGAATTCCCTTAATATCGGAATTCTAATAATCAAAATGAAGCGTCGCATAGTAAATGATCGCGAAAATGATCCAATTCGAACCCTTTCGAATAATGCATGTCCTTGGCCCAAAACATGTGGTTGTATCGAAATTCATTAAAATGTCTGTAGGAAACAAGACGAGCATACCGATAAACGGACAGACAAAGAAGCTTAAAACAAGCTTAGAACTATAACAGAGGGCCACGGCTCATTGTTAAATATTTTATACTACCTTCAAATACGTCATTTTAGGGCAACTGGTCGAGAAATGGTTTGATCTGAACTATATTCAATAGCGTTCCCCCTTGGGCCAAAATACGTGCTAAATTACATCAAGATGTCTCATAATTTATGACGTGTTTAACACAAAAAAATAAGACGGACATGTGAACAGACAAACAAGCTTAATCATAATGGACCAGCGGCTACCATTTAATATCGTACATCATCTTACGGTCTTTCTTATAAGGACTTCTTCAAACAAGGCTTTGTATGGGAAGTGGTCGAAGAAAGTTTTCGCTCTCAACCATTCCTAATAGCGTTCGTCTTTGGGCTAAACTAAGAGGTTGTATTAAATTTCATCAAAATGTATCACAACCGTCTGTAGGGTAAATAAAAGAAAACAGGACGGACAGACAGACAAACAAGCAGAAATCGATCAAGCAAGGCGATTTCGAATCGATCGATATCATAAAATACCGGTCGATCCCAACTCTATCTAGGTGTTGCACACATTTGCACAAGCTCAATATGTCCTTGGAGCATAAGCGATGTAGGATGCAAAAAGTGAAAAAAATACAGAACAGATTTTGATGAGGGATGGATCCCCTTTTAATGATGGATGGCAGTATGATATTATCTGTCTTTGTTGTTCATTTTTTTTTTTTTTTTATTAATATCATCTTGATTACTTTTAATGCAATTTATTAACAGATCAAAGATTATTCGCTTAGCGGCACGCTATTCTCCTCATGCGTATAGGTTTTGCTTGGTGCTTATTAACCTAACTATTTAACCTCTTTGTGATTAAAAGAGAAAACGAAACACATTAAAGAACTATTAGATCACTTAACTTGAACTTCTTTATTCTTTGACTTTATTACATCACAATGATCGGCCAATTGCTGTTATTAAGTGTCTTGTTATTTATTTCTTTTATAAATAAATAAAATATTTTTTTATTCTTTTTTTTTAAATTGTTTCAAATAAGACATGGACTCAGGCAAATAATAATAAATAAATTATTCTTCTTCTTCACACATGTTTCTCGCTTGGATAGCAATATATACAGTGTTTTAAGTTTGGATTCGGACATCTGAACATCTTACATCTTGTCGCTCACTAATCACTTTAGATCGCAGGAATCTAAAACATTTATGCCCGATACAAGGTTATGTTTGTGTGAATGTATGCCACGCAGAGAAAGACTTAAAATGGATTGACGTTTTGAATCAAGAATCATTGCTCGAATTTCTTATCTATTCGTCTATTCGTCCACTTGTCTGTCTATCTGATGTCTACCCATGGAAACGGACAGACGGACAACCGGACAGATGGATGGGCATGCCTATATCAATGCAAAATTTTTTTTTTGCGTGAACGTGTTCTTCGACCGACTTGGGCCATTTTCAACACCTATCTGCGGGCAAGAACTTCCAACGTTTCGGCCAAATTTTGCGGCCAGGACAATGATTCCAACGGACAGACAGACGAACATGCTTAAATCAATTTAGAATTTGATGCTAATCAAGATTAAAAATATTTTTTTTGGGGTCTCTGAAGCTTCCTTCTGGGTTTTGCAAACCCTTTGATAAAGTGAATATGTCATCCTTCCGTGAAGGGTATAAAAGATAAAGGGTAATCATAATATATTAGCTTCGACAGATAAATGTTGTCGTTCGTAAGTAGATATTCGAGTTTTTGAAACCGTGTTGTAGTGGAACTATGCTATAATCGAAAATTTTGCATTGCGTTGCATCGAAACCGTGCTCTACAAGTATTCTGTTAAGTCGAGGAGGCCTGTATTTCAAAATGTAACTGTTATTTTTTATTATTTTGTAAAAATCCATATTTTTGTTTATATCGTCAACTTTGAATTATAGTAGACTAAACGACATAGGAAATTGAATGTCGAACTTAGCCATGTCTCAAGTTTTTTGCTTATGACTTCACTTTTTGCTAATTCGCTGTCCGACTTAAAACACATGCTGTGTCTCTACTCTAATAATAAAAACAGGCTTAGCTTATGCACAAACCCTTCAGTAACACAACAGGCGAAACATTCACAAAAACTTTTAAAATTGCTAACAGCTGTTAAGATTATTAAAAGAGAAAAAAAAAGAAAAGAAACCAACTTGACTGCACTGAATCAAAGAATAGCTTCAGCAGAAAAAGAAAAAACTAACATTAGTTTAGTGTTTATATGAAATATAAAAGAGTTTGTAAAACTTCGATAAACAAAAGCTTAAAATATTTCTAAAACATAAATAAAGAGTGTAAGGATAATAAAGAGCAATAACTTTCGAAAAAAGAGATGTATTTTTACTGCTTTACTAAAACAGAGCAAAAATGCTTTAATAGTTAGTTAATAGCAATCCTTCAACGGCAGTACTTTTTTGCAATTCAACGAGGACACAACAAAAATATTTGAACGAATTCACTGAAATAATAAATAAAAATTTGAAAAAAAACCTTCAGAAAACAAAAAAGTAAAATTATTAAAAATTATAGAAATAAAATTTTTTTTTTTTAAATAAAAGCAAATAGTTATTAGAAATTTGAAGAAAAAGAAAAATAAGACAAAATTGCATTAACTCTGGAAAAGGGGCAAAAAAAAAAAAAATTTAAAACAACAACAACAAAAATAACAATAATAATAATAATAAAATTTTAAGGGTGGTTTGGTACAGACAGTGAAAATATGCGTCTGGTCTCTTTTGTTGTTTGTATCTGTGTGCCTGTCTCCATATATGTCCTTTGACATGTTATGGATGGGAAAAAAAAACTTCTAAAATACACAGTGAAGCATAAGTAAATACTAAAATAGCTCTTATGCTTTATTTTTATTTTTTCGTACCCAAGCATACACAAGCAAAGCACATATCAAGTGGAAAGTGTAGAGGAACAACATAAAAAACAAAAGGAAAAAAAGAAGAAACTAAGAAGAAAAAATCAATAATAAAAGCTAATAGAAGAAACCTTTAAAATTTATATATAATTTCAAAAAAAAAAAAAATAGGAAAAAATAAAAAAATAAATAAACAAAGCAATAAAAAAATAATCAAAATTAACTCAACTATAAAAGTAATGCTGCGATTCCCTTGCTCCAAATTCCGCCACTTAACTTAGTTTGTTTAAGAAAAAAAAAAAAAAAAAAAGGAAAAAAATAACAAACAGCCACCCACAGCAACCTCTATGACCTCTAACGTTTCAATACTGGTTTAATACATCCACGCTTGGCCTCTTGTGACTCATAAACTTTAATAACACGCACACAATTCAAATAAGTCGTATATATATATATATATATGTTAATAAAAATCCTAACGCGTCTTTCGGGAGCCTTCAAATATTGATTGAGCAAAAAAAAAAAGACAAAAAAAAAAATTAATAAAAACACAGAAAATGTTTAAAATTATTAACATTAACTGGCTTCTATTGAAAATCTACTTTAACTCATTTTCATATTTAACTAAATCGTTGATTCTGTGAAATTCTTTATAAAACTATATAAAAAAGTTTTTCAATTGATTGATAAAATATACAAACACAATAAGAAAACAAAAACAAACATGAAAACTCGTCTTGTTTCTTTGACATACCGTGGTTCAGCCTCAGTTGATCCACGTTATTCCGCTGCCATGCTGCCATGGACTATAAACGATATACGATCTACTGAAAGCTATACGAAGGTAATATAATATAAAATTTCATTTTATCAAGCTTCAGATGTCTTTTCAATGAAAAAATATCAAAAAACAAAAAAAAAGAAAAGAAAAACAAGCTACGAGCGAGTCTTTTATACCCTTTACACCTTAATACTATCGCTTTCTTATCGGATTCAAGCTCCATTGCGCTAAAGTCTACCTTGTTCGTAGCTATATATAGTGAGTACTTAATCGGTAAAGGCCTTTGCCGATTGGGCACAAACCCACTAGGCCTCGGCCAGCATCTCTCTATTTCTTTCTTTCTTTCTTTCTCCTTTCTCACAGCATCGCATTACGCGAATCGAAGACATCCCATAACACAATAAGTGATGTAGACTATAAAGATTTATATATAATTTATTTAAACTCTCATATCATTATTCGCCACAGCGTTATTCTTGTCTGCAGCTTATGCAATATGCCCGTTGTATGATTTTTTCATTGTACCTTACGTCACTTGTGGTACAAGATATATTAGGTTTGTGAGGAGATATGTAACACGCAAAAAGGCTTAAGATAAATCCGCCTTTTATTATACCGGTCGATTCAGAATATGGTCCTGATAAGTCTGTCTATCCGTCCGTCCGTCTAATGTCTACCAATGTAAATTCGTGTTCAAACTGCAGGTCGATGTGTTGATGAAAGTGTTTTGATTCAAGGCCAAATGCTATTGAAAATAGTTGGGATCGATCTACTTTTTTGGCTACTTCCCATATGACGCCTTGTTTTGAAAAGTCGTTACATGGAAAAAATTTGCAATTTTCAATATTTCTCGACAGAAGTAACTAAGTAATAGTATTTCCGTGCTCTAAATTCGCGTGAAAACTTTGGACCCGCTTTGGGCATTTTCGAAACCCCCTCTCATAAAAAGAAAACTGAATTTCATATGACAAAAAAGGTCTAATTTTCAACGCTTTATGATGAAAAGCAGATCATAATAGTAAGTTAGGATAAAAGAAACTAACTCAAATTTGGACTATCTCAGTCTATCTTCTCGATCCTCCCCCGTATAAGGGTTTTCACGAACATTTTTGTTTTTGAGGCCAGAAAAGTCCAAGTTTTACTACATTACACGGCATATAATAACAATTTGATATAGAAATTAATTGTGCTGAAGTTTGAACACCTGGCTCAATCTTTGAATCGCGGTAAGTAAGTCTTTATTTGCAAAGGGGTGTAATTTTTAATATAACAGCTCCGTGATATTAAGTTCATATGAAAACATGTCGTAATTATATCCTACACCCCTTGTGGTACAGAGTACGGATTTATGTAGCAGTCAGAAGGACATAAGACAGACTCATGTTTTATTACGCCGATCGATTTAGAATCATTCGTTAAATCGATCCAAGCTTGTCTGTCTGTCTGTCCATGTAATGTTGTGTTCAACCTACACGTCGCAATTTTTGAGATATTTTGATGAAATTCGGTACAGTGACGTGTTTTGACCCAAAGACGAAGGCTATTGAAAATGGTCCGGATTGGCCCAGTTTTTCGACCACACCCCGCATTAAACTCTATTTTGAAAACTCGTAATAGGGCAAAAAAATTCAAAATGTTTCGGCAAAAGTAATTAAGTAGTAGTATTTGGGCATTCTAAATTGGCATGGAAATTTTGGACCAGCTGGGACAAATTTTGAACCTCGTCTCATATAACCGTTGCTGCGAAAACTAAAGCTTTATGTAGTGAAAAGGTCGAACTTCCAATATTTTATGGTGAAAATTTTCTCATAATAGCAAATTGACAAAGAAGGAAACTTGGACCATGTAAGTATATTTTTTGGATACCACCGCATATAAAGGTTCCCATCTTCTTGTTATTCTAACTTGTTTTTGTTGTATTTCAACAAAAAAAGAAATGTATTAGACAATGTGGTATAGGATTTTCAACAGACTTGTTTCACTTGTTTTTTGCTTACTTTACAGCGCCTCATCCTTGCCTTTATAAAGGTTCAAATATAGCCTGTATCAAGGGTACAAATATGATCGTTCCGAAGGTTCGCTAAAATCAAGTGAATGGCATTATTTCAATAAACTTCTGCTTAACAATGCAATCATTTTATCTTCGTACTACACTACCAACATTCTTTCGTTATGCGGTTTCCACCAATGTTGCCCCTCGTATCTTACTTGGTTACAAACATTCCTATAACCGACTTTCAATTGAATTCTTCGCTTTACTTTATCTGAGCTTATAAGATTTATTTTTCTTTTGCTTTTGTTTTGTGGTATATAACCATTACCAAGCGTTATTATTAATTCAGTATTTTGAGATAACAACTTTCAACAATAACTTACTTACTTACAGTAGGAGTAGAAAGTAAGGTGGATTTTTATAACATTAATGAATGTCAATGGCAAAGATAAAAACCAAAAAAATTTTTAGAAAAATATTTTATGCATTAAGCGAAGACAAGAATACTTTCCGATTCCTTGCATAATAAACAAAAAAGAATTTTTTCTTCGAAAAGAGAAAAATTGAGAAAATTTGAAAAAAAAAAATAAATAATTCTTGTTTCTCTTAGGTGAAAGATGAAAGGATCATGTCATATGAAAACAAGTAAGAACGTTATAGTCTGGCAACGCCCGCCATTATATATCCTACACCATTTCTACGTCCCTCGTTTTGGTAGACATTAAGCCATACTTTTCTTAAAAGCCTTCATAATGGAAAGTTACATTTTCTCTCCATATAAGAGTTTGCTTTACGTGATAACGCCTACATATGTTAGGATCCGAGAGAATGAACCTATGTGACCGAAATTCCTTACCGCTAATTTTCTTGCTCAATGGCTACTATGCATTAATTTTGTTATACGGAGTGAGGCTAAGAAATAAACCCATGTGGCTGAAATTCGGACCAGTTAATTATACTCATACATGGTCCAAAGTCAGTACGGTTGAGTTCTCTGTCAAATACTATTATGAGCCAATTTTTGCAATGAAATAATGGAAATTACACTTTTTTCCCACATAAAGGTTCAGTTTTCGTAGAATCATTTATATAAGCAGGTGTTCAAAAAATTGCCCCATCCAGTCCAAAGTTTTCACACCAATTTAGAATGTCGAAATACTATTACTTAGCAACTTTTGTCGAGAAATTTTCGAAATTTGTTTCCTATAAGGACTTTTTAGAATAAAACATCATTATATGGAATGGTCGGAAAAATGAACCGATCTAAACCATTTTCAATAGTGTTCATCCTTGGCTCGAAGCACGTCACTGTACTAAATTTGATCAAAATACCTCAAAAATTACGACCTGCAACTTGAACGCAAATTTAAATGGACAGACGTCAAACGGACAAACGGACAGACATGCTTAAATCGATTTAGAACCGTTTTCTGAATCAATCGGTATAATAAAACGTGGATCTGTCTTAAGTCTTTCTGCGAGTTACATACGCCAACACTAACTTAATGTACCCCGTACCACAAGCGGTGTAGCGTGTAATGAGGAAAAAATTTCTATCGAATTCGAAAGATGTTTCAGAGACACAATATAGTATATATACTCTTGATAAGCATCAAATTCCGAAACGATTTAAGCGTGTCCGCCTGTCCGTCTGTGTAATGTCTATTGGATAGATTCTGCTGTTTGCAAAGACTTTAAAGTCATCGGCTTCAAATATTGTGAGTTGTCGCAGTAATATTGAAAATGATCCAAACCGCTCGAAAGACAGGCCTGCAATGCCCTTTAAAAAAAAAAAAAAAATGGGTTTTTTGTCCATGACTTGCAAGCTGACTGCAGTAGATAAACCTATGAAAATTGGAACATATATTCTATTGGCAATATTGTAATACCAGTACAAACAAGGGTTACAAGGGTTGCGTAACAACTCATATTATAGCGCATAAATATTTCATTTATTTGTCAAAATCTTTACAACGTGTAAAACCAAGTTTTGAAAACTGCATAAACCATCTATTATCTTGACTAGTGTCGAATTCGAAAAGCATGTTACATTTGTCTGTCCATCTGCACGTTTGCCCATCTTCATAGTATCTGCGGTAAATATGCCACCGTTCACAAGAGTTGTGCTGTTGCCCCAAAAAATTTGCAAAAGAATTTGAAAATGGAAAAATCGACCAGTGGACACGCCCACTCTGCCCGCGCCACAAAAATTAAAAATACCTTTGCTGTCCATATTCTTTGCTTGTTGCTCATAAACTGCAAACTTTCCATTATTATTCGAAAAATTAGTCACGCCCCTCTAATACTAGAAAGAATGAAAATGTACTTTTTTTTGCTTTTTCATGGATCATGGGTATAAAAGATTCAGCCAGAGTTGAATGTAATCGTCTCACTTGTCTATCCTTTCCATATCCTTTCCGTCTTCTTGTAAAAGTTAAGTCCTTATTTCCTTAATTTGACCAAAATTAATAAAATAAATTTTCAATCTCTTACTGAGATTATCATTCCGGTAATGTCTTTTAATAAATTGTTATCCCTATGATAATTATAAAAGCTAGCACAGTAGAGAAATATCAAATTAACTGCGAAGACCTGCAACTCAGTTAATTACTTTTTATTTTTATTTTTTTTCCTTATGCACGTACGTGCGGATGTTGAAAACTAATTAGGGCAAGAGAAGCTTTCTTAAGGTACAAGAATGAAAAGCAGATCTTAAATATACCGATTTTCTTAAGAAACATATATGCTTTCATGCGTATGTGTGCGTGCACATCTATATTGTTGCCTTATGCATGCGTGTATTTATATATAGATTGTGTAAATATAGTTTACAAAATCACGTAGTAAATAGTATCCTGCAGAGAATGCGAATTTAACTAAAATTTTATTATACACATACGAACGCCCAGGTAATACAGGTGACTGCGTAACTATCTGTGTTAATTATTATAGAATTTGAGCATGTCTTCAATCTTGTTGTTGTATTCTCCTGTTTCTACACATTTACTACAGCATATAAGAATTGTCATATTCCTTACGATCCTACTAGGAAATGTTTTTTTTTTTCTTC